AAAAAGATTATATGGTTTGTATGTTTCTCGATAGCCAATTTGTATCTCAGAAAAATCCTGTATTTAAATTTTTCATTGCACGACTGCAAAGTATATAAGGTATTGAAATTAAAAAAAAATGCATTTTATAGGATAATATATTCATCATAACAATAAATTTTAATAAGAATTTCAAGATAACTTTCTTTATAAAAGAATGTCAAATGTCGTAAAAAATCATTTTTTAAATATTAAAACTTAATTATGTTGGAAACTTAACGCTGAAATTTTTTGGCATCGTTTTTAACATTCAAAAATTTAATCTGATGTGAAATATTGTAAATAAGTGCAGTACTCATATATAATTGTATATATGCAGGATGTCTGGTAATATCCGCATATCTCGTGGGTAGGTAGAGCGAACTAAACTGAGTCAAATTTCTCTATCAGTTTGTAATTTTCGCAATAGTTAACGAAATATTAATTTCTAAAAATTACTAAATAAACGGATAAAATCGACGCATAAGACAGTTTTAAGATATTTTCTTCAGAGTTCTTTATGAAATATCTTGAAGATTCTCAAAAAAACTGTCAAAAATATCTTAAAGTTGTTGCGCTGATTTTAGATACTCTGCTCATTAGTTAACTTAAAAAAAAAAAAGATGTTTATTAATACAAAAGACGCCCGAAATAATTATTCCGAATGATATTTATAATAACGTATTATATTCAATAATTTATTTAGAAATTAAAAATTTGCAGCGTATTACTATATTTTGAACTATTTCTTCTCTCTCAAACTCTCTAAAATTTAACGTGGTTGTTAGAAGAATACAAATAAATTTCACAGAAGGATGGCTTAAAATTTGATGTTTTTTAAATCAATTAATAAATGTCATCTAATAAACATTTAATAAACATTATACGAATGTTTACAAGATGCTTATTATGTTAACATCTACTACATTTTTTTAGTAGTCTAAAAAACTATTTTTCTTTAGGGAATAAGATAACTAAAAAAATTGATTGTCTTCTTAGCTGAGCAGAAATGTTATTTCTATTTCAGTGAAAACAGCCAAAGTTTCATTTGTACTACATGCATAGAGTTAAAATTGATTCTTTGTAACGTTAATGCATTCGAGAATTACATAGTCCAATATTACACACAGTTGGAAGAGTTTGAAACTGCTGAAATGATCATCAAATCTCCTGTATTCTACTTTGAAAATATTTGAAAGAGTGAAAATGATTAAAACATTTGAATTGTTTGTGTAATAATATAAATATAATTTCTTAATATATTTCTGTTTATAATATAAATATATTTCTGTTTTTATTCAGTTAGCCTTAAACTTACTGAATAAAAATTACTGAATAAACGAATAAAATCGACGCATAAGACAGTTTTAAGATATTTTCTTCAGAGTTCTTTATGAAATATCTTAAAGATTCTCAAAAAAACTGTCAAAAATATCTTAAAGTTGTTGCGCTGATTTTAGATACTCTGCTCATTAGTTAACTTAAAAAAAAAGATGTTTATTAATGCAAAAGACGCCCGAAATAATTATTCCGAATGATATTTATAATAACGTATAGACTATAAATCTTACACAGAAAACGCCATATTGCTTCATGTGCACGCGAGAATTATGTTTCAAATATTTGTCGACAGTTTAGGAGAAAGGAAGAAACCTAAGGTATTAATTAACCTAAAGTATTAATAATAATGATTAATAACAATTTCACAGATATATATTTTTATTACATAAATCCATTGTTGGTTACAATGTAAGTAAGGAAAATATAAGAATTCTGAAAAATTACAGTGTCAATCTTAATAAGATCAAAGGAATGTTTGTGTCGGATTATGATATTGATATGAATTTAAGGACAGTGATGAACCTATTTTGACATTTAGAATGTTATTAATGAAGAAACTAAATACTTCAAAGGTATTAATTTTATGAATCATCAATTCATTCAATCTAGAAACAAATTAATACAACTAAAAAATTTTAGTGTGAGCAAGAAAAGCATTAATACAATGCGAAATGTAAAACATATTTTAAGAATTTAGAGAAGTAGGTCATGATACTTAATTGAGGAAACAAAAGATTCGGAACTTGCATTTTGGATTTATAGATACTTGGTACAAACTGGTTACATATATGTATACATATATATATATATATATATATATATATATAT